TATTTTTATTATTTTCTTTTTGCATTCCTTTAATTTTTATTTATTCAATTATTATATTTTTACTTGTAGGTTATTTTACTATCATTTCATTTCAGGTTTATTGTTGCTTAATATAATTGTTATTTTCAACTATTCTTTTTTAATTATTCTTTTTTACTTGTTTCAGGGATTTCAAATCATTTTATATAATAGACAATGGAAGTCCGAACTAGTGAAATTCATCAAGAAACATTGTCAATCACCTTCAAACAAACGATAAAGCTATTTGTACTGCAGTTTTAGGACAAGTTGGACTAATGGAAAATTCGCAATCTCTTCCGCTGAAGTCGTACAAATGTTTTCAGGATCCTTCAATAGTAGAAATTTCATTCATATAAGATTTGACTAATTCATAAATTGAACGAAGACGTATATACGGACTAATGTACGTTTAGTTTGAATGGAGAGGTGAATCGGCATTGTCTATATTGGAGTGATACGAATCTTTATTTATACCGTCAAGTTCATACCTAACGACCTCAAAAACTGAATGTTTGGGCAGAAATTTTAGGTGACCACATCATAGAATCTTTTTTTATCGATGATAATTTGATGAATATTTGGATATGTGGAAGAATCGAATAATACAGTGCATCAATAGGGCAATTGAGGAGGATATAAATTTATTCGAAAACGAAATAGTTTTTTCAGCAGGATGGTGCACCTCCTCATTATGCAGCTCCAGTGTCACAATTTTTGGATGGTCATTTTCCTGGTCACTGGATTGGCAGAATAGGTCCTACAGAATGGCCACCAAAGTCTCCGGATCTCCTGTAGATTTCTTTCTATGGGGTCATTTGAAGTTTGAAGTGTATGAGATAGAATCAAGAACATTAGAAGATTTGAGAGAGATTATCATGAGGCATTGTAGAGAAATAGCTCCCGAGATTCTCAACCATGTGGAGGCGGCAATGGAAGCTCGTTTGTACCGTTGTATAGAAGTTGGTGAAAATGTTTTTGAACATTCACTATGGAAAAGGTTTTTCTTATCATTGTTAAGTCATCAGATTTTGATTCAAGAATTGATACAAACCCTTTTTTTCTGATTTTTTGCACCCATATTTATCTCTAAAACGAATATGTCCCCCTGTATACTATTGATGAGGTGTTTCTTATTTTTTCTGGAAATTATTGTTCCAAAAGTTATTCAGGGTGGCTCGTTTTCAGCTCAACACATTTTTAGATCCCGAACCATAAGCTTCAGACCATATGTTTTATACTTTTTTTATTATACTGCTCATCATGGAACATCTGATAATGAGAAACAGTATAGGGTGATCCATTAAAAAATGGTGACATGCTCTGAGGGAGCTATAGGGACAGTTGAATCAAATGTGAATATGTCAAAATGTGTCCTCCTGTATATTATTGTTAACGTGTTTTTTTATTTTTTCCTGAAAATCAGGGTGGCTCGTTTTAAATGCAATGCACTGTATATTTTATGAATGTCAGGCACTGGATTTCAGAAAACAATTTAGGGAAAACTAAAATTGAACTGGCATCCTTGCCATGAAAAGATTGTAGAAAAATGCAGAAAGCTCACAAGATTGCCCTTTACACAAGATTGCCCTTTACACGACTTCATTCCACCGAAAAGTCTGCCTGAGAAACTTCCCCAAATTCCATACTTGTTCAACTGAAAATAAACTGAATTTATTCAATGAAATCAACATATTTATTTTGTCGGTTCCAAAATAATAAAAATGTTGACTTTTGTTCATTTCAGAATTCATCTTGACCGAAATTATGAAACCATTTTACCCATTCGTGATTATTATTCCATTTACTTGCTACCAGTTCAACTGATGGAACTACCGTGTAGCAAAACGCGTCTTAAATAAAATTAATTGTGAAAATTCTATAATTCATGATGGGTATTCACGACAATCTGAATCGTGATAATAGTTTGTAGTTATAACTGATCAAAATTCCTACTTTTATTTACCAAAAGTTATAGACAAATGGTGGTCTTACATAGTTGATAGTACTATATAAAACATTTCATAGGACTTGAAAGAACACTCTGAATATTCGAAATGCAAACTGAATGACTCACCTACAGTTGTCAGTAACGTCACGGAATATAGAAGAGCACCTCCAAAAGTCCACCGAGGTCCAGCAGAATGTATCGAATCTTCAGATTTTCCTGATTCTACTACAGCTCTCTCGAATCTCTTTAGCTGTTCTGTTACCAGCCTTGTCCAGTTCTTTTCATACAAAACATTCAGGCGTTCTGAAAAAATAAAAAAAATAATGGAGAATTAATGACACTACAGTTAGGTTTTTGATAAAATATTTTACTATTCTCAAACTGGTTCACGTGTTTAAGAAAGGAAATTAGATGTCTGTAACATTTTACAATAGCCAAAAATGGAAAAGACGAAGCAGAAGTATATTCTTCTGCTTCTTTACATGTTTCGTCCCGTGGGTTGAGCTACCTATCGGACGCGTTTCCAGGTGGCGGACAGGGAAACGGCCAGGGGACTGGAGGCCCTGTCCGAGAAGCCAATGTGGCCTTACGGACGGGGTCGCCGGACTCCTGGTCAGTGGCAGAAATAAGTAGAGTGAGCCTTTGCAAAACATGTCACTGTGGACCAGCCTACCCAAGCGAAACTAGGCGAAACCTCATTGTAATCAGCCTACCTCTGGTAATGCGGGGCTCAACCAGAGGTGACCAACTCTTCCCTTGCAACTCGTGGAAACACACGTGAATGGAACAACACAAAAACAGAAACAAGAAGAACAAAAACCAACCCCGAGGCTGGACAGAAGTGCTCACCTCAATCTAAGGCGGTGGCTGGGGATGAACAGAAATGTCCACCCCAATCTACCGCTTGGAATGACGCTGGACATAGCAGATCACCTCGAACAGCAAGGGCGCCAAGAGCTCCGCCTTGAATAAAGGCAAGGAACCGGCTGCCCCTGCAGGAAAGCCTCCTCACTTGTGCACCTCCACGGGGAGCCTCAAGATGGTTGAAGAAGCCGCGCAACGACAGTAATATCGCTGCACCTTCCAAAACCTTCGCGGAGGCCACCGTGAGACACTTCAAGGTTGTCAAAGAGAGTGTGTTTGGCGAGTCATGGTTTACACCTGACAATATAAAGGAGATGTCTCCTAGTGACCTGTTCACCTTCCTGAAAAGGACAAAAGGAGGACAACTCCTCGGGAGGATGTACAATGGGTCACATGTGGCCTAAGTGCTGTGAGTCTACAGTGACCCTCCCCACTCTACAAATATAGATACATGTTTCTTTATCAGGTGTATGATGTGGAACTTCCAGTATTTGAATTAGAGCTGAAGTGAATAAAACTATAAAATATTAAAAATAAGTACAAATTAGCTATTCTTTAGAAAATAGTGAAAATTTATTTCAGTTTGAATTCATTTTTACAATCAATTAGTTGTTCATGATATATGTTTCGGTGAATGTTTCTTTCAATGATTCATGATCAATTTGAGAATATTGTTTTCTCTAAGAATGACTGACTTGTTTCAATAGTTTTTTGTCGAGGATGTAATGAATCATGTCCGGATTGAAGTTGGTATTTACTGCTACCCGTTTCATCAAATTCAGTTCTTTATTGAAGTTATCTGTTGACATAGGGATACTAATGAATCTGTGTATTATGGTGTGGCAAGCTGCTAGTTTATGTTAATAAGGATTAGAGATGCGCCGAATAGTGGTTACCGAATAACCGAATACCGAATACTATTCGGTTTAACCTTAACCAATCCGGATGTTCGGTCGAATTATTTGGTTTAAATATTGATTTGAGGTTTAAAAATACATGATGATATAGGTTTTAAAATGAAATATGAATTTGATTGAGTTTCAAAAAAAAGTTGATTTTAAGTTCAAAAATTTGTTTGAAGATGAATATTGTTTTGATCTGAGGTTTGAAAGAAGTTTTGCCGTTTGGGTCAATACCTTGCCGTGTAGCCAAGAAAATAAAAACACTCGAACGGAATATGACACTTCGGTCTTTTTTATTTTTTACTCAAAGGGAATATTGTTTGTTATTCCATATGTACATATATTTATATTTATGCGGTTTCCCTTGTTAACTTGTTATATGAATTTTATGTTCTCTGGTGGGGGGAAATTATGTTTGTTTTGTATGGCGTGTGTTGCAAGGTTTGATTTATATACTGTTGGATTTATGTATGAGCACAAAGAGCACAAAAAGGCATACATAAATCCAACAGTATATAAATGAAACCTTGCAACACACGCCATACAAACTTATATTATTGCAGTTTCATCATTTCGAGACAAAATGAGAGGCAGTCTGTTGGCCAAGAATGAATAACTCAATGTTTCCACAGATAATATTTATTTATCATTCAACATTTTTAAAATGGAAATTATTGGCATGCGAAAAATTATAATTATACTTATAAATTGGGGCTGAACTAGAACTTTTTTCAATTGTTTTCAACTCCATTTTGCATTCCTGTTCTTATTATTTCTTATATGTACATATACTTTTTTGTTTTCTCATCCTTGGGAAATTTTGGACCGTGAAGATAGAAAAAATTAATGAAAATTAAAAAAAATAAAATGTGAGAAAAGAAAGGGAGAGGTAACATGCATAACTTGGAGATCCCATACTTTGAAGTTCTGAGTTGTTTGAAAACTTCAAAAAAGTTTAATTTCTCCCAAGTAAGAGAACAGTCCACAAATTTTGAAGTGACAATTTTACATAATTCTCAACTTTTAGCTGTTGAAAATAGAAAAAAAAAATAGTAAAAAACAATAAGCACAATATTATCCAAGTCTTGTTTCCTTTCATTTGTATTGAATATTCCTATATATGGTGGATATGTGGAAGACCAAGGACCTTGGTCCAAAGTAGAATAATTCCTATTATTATTTTTTTAATTACCAAAATTTATTTTCGTTTGTGCATACCCTAACGGACATAAGCATTCAGCCAATCTTTGGATAGCTAAGTAAGAAAGAAAAAAATGTATTAGTCACTAATCCCTCGGCTTTCATTTTTTCGAAAGTTGGGAAATTTTGCTTGTGGGGTTGGGAAAATTTGGATTTCTTTCCCCCTGGTATTTCTTTTCGCTACGGCCCTGCATCAGGCTTATTAGCTTGTATGAGCCTGAGGGTGGGGAACGAATAGTTCCAATAAATTCGGCACTTCTCGTTCCCCACAACGGATCTTCCGTGGAAAGATGAACAACGTTTTCATCGAATTCACCCCAACCAGGCAGGGGTACACCGTGAAGGGCGGTACTGATGTCTGAGGACACTCATGCCGCCATACCATAACACCCACATCAGTCATGACCCGTTTGTCCTTCTGGCAAACATCAGTTCAAAGGGTAAGGGAGCCAGTCTCCAACCTGACCAAATTCAAGATGACTTCCACCCCCACAACGGATTCAATATCCCCCGGAGCGTAGGGCAACACCGGTGTCTCATCAATACCGTAAGAGTGCCGTAGATGGTAATATAGCACTTTTAGGGCCGCGTTATGTCGATGGATATAGGCCGAGACCGCATATGCTGGACATACTGATAGCAAGTGCATTAGGGTCTCGAGCGCCTCGCGGCAAGCCCCGCACCTTGTGTCAGGAACCTCTATACCCATCACGCGACTGCGGTGCATAACTTCTCGCAAGCGGTGCATAACTTCAAGATGATACTCCTTATTGACCGTACGACCATGTGGCAAGAACTTTGGATGTACTACGCCACGTAATCTAAAAAACAGTGGACAAAACCTTGACATTTGATTGAACTTGGCGTGCTTTTTTGGTCTTGTCTCTCCTGGGCTCTTCCAGTGAGACGATTGGACTTTGGTTTCAATGTCATAACCAGTTATGACCCTTTCAAGCAAATCTGGATCGCCGTTGACGTCATTCAACAATCGCTGAGCGATGCCTAAGTGACGGTTTTTTGGTCAAAATTAAGCAATTTTGGAACAAACTTTGCTGCCACACGTTTCGTGCCCAAAATTTACGAAAAAATTGCATGGCATGAGCCAACCGACATCCTCAGCAACGTATCTGATAGTTATTCAAAAAATTTTCATATTTATTTTGTTTCACTTTCACATTTCCATTGGTTGTTGATGCGTTGGGGCGTCCCCAACTCATATGCCACTGTTAACTTTTCGAGTCTTTTTGAGCACTCAATTCAATTCTTTACACTAAATTTGATGCAGGTTCTTTGATAATGTTTTTTTGATAGCGGAAAATCGCCGATCACGCAAAATACTTCTAACTTTCATGCCTCCCACTTAGTGGGAAACATCTG